TAATAATGTTGATAACATTAGTACATCTAAAAATAGATAGATCAATAGTATTGAAATACCATACCTCCAGCTCATGGTCATGTATTACCCAGCCAGCCTCTACAAAAGCTTTAGTGTCTACACAAAAATCTTGCTTTCCTTTTTTAGGTAGACTCTTTGTGAGTTGTGTGCACAAACCATCTGCATCCTGCTCATAATGCTGAAATATTCAAAAGTAGAAAAAGTTAAATATGTGATATGTGAGCTACAACACCAACATAAAGAACTGGTTGCTACTAATACTGCGCTATGTCACAAAATGTGAATTTAGGTGATGAAAACAGGTTTTAAGCAGTCTTTTACCTCAACAAGTTGGGCGAGGGTTTCAAAGAACTCTTCATCATCAATTGTGAGCTTATGATCCTTGTACTTCACACGGTAATGTTCAACCTTCCCTTGGTAACACACGCAAAGTGTATAATCACCAGGAAAATTTGTAGATTCTCGAACCAAAAAGAGCCCATCCATTTTGGGGCACAAAAGCTGCTCTGCTCTTTCACGTGATATTTTACCATGAAACCATCTGAAACAAACATGTAAGTAAGCACACAATATGGTAGACAAAAATTTCACTATCATATGAATTTGTTTTAACTTACGGCATAGCATTTAATTTAACTTCTGCGCGTTTTTGTGCAATGGTAGGAGAGAGCTTTGCAGTACTGTCCATATTGTTATTATCAATACGAATTGATGTTGGAACTGGAGATGGTGATAAAGCTGGTATGTGGGAATGCGAATGTGTTGAAGTTGATGATGGTGTTGGGGAGGGAGAGGAGGTGATTGTAGAACTTGATGGGTGGGGCGAGCTCATCCAGCAGCCGCCAGGGTCCTGATAGGGACCCACAATGGCCACCGGGCGGAACCGCTAGAATAACAAACACATTATGATAAGTGGCCCGCATTTCATAGGCAAGATTATAAAGAAGAATCAAAATAAAAGTATAAGGTCAATCTCTGTTATTTACCTGTGTTAAGGATGTGTTTTGCAGGCCTTGGCTCATTACGCCAAATCTCCAGGACGCAAATTAATTGGGAATGCCCATCATACATTTACAGGCCTACATAAAAACAAAAGAGAGTCACATGTATTTGCAGGGTTTTATAAATACAGTTGTGTCACTGAGTGACACAACACGGGGGTAGAGAAGAAGGACTCAATTTGAGACTGATGAAGACAGATTTAGAATAAAATAATAAAAACTAAAAATTTTGCTGAGAAAGGAGTTAGATAACTAATGAGTGCCCTTACCCCTCATAATATTATAATACAGCTCCTCCATCACTGTGAGTCTGAAATAAACCACAAACCACTTAGTAAACAATTTAGCCTAATAGACATTTAAAACAAGTAAAAAAACTGTGAGGAAAAGAGTGAAAAAAATTATCCCAGCTTAATTGTGACATTTTCAAGAAGGAAACATAGCAAGGAAGAGAAAAGCAAAAATTCTAGAGGTTGTAACAGTTTTGACATATGTATAAATGCAGATCTGACCTTTGAATGTTATTTTATTTTTATCACTGTAAATAAAGCCTGAGGCACCAAGATGACTAGGTAAAATCATACTCTTTCAAGCAGAAACGACCCGTCTCAATTAATCGGAGACGATGTAGCCACTAACTTAAATAGGAGCAACACACATCAGAGTTGTCCTATTCCGGTCATGAGGGCACCCAACCTAGGAATCTGGGTGTTTACATGAGCTCATTTCCATGAGATAGTGAAGGAAGCAATGTGGTACCACCATGCTGTCACGCACTGAAAAATATAGTTTAAGCCAAGATGCGGAAACTAACGCTGTCAAACCAGAGGGAGGGTATTGATACATATCAACTGCAAAAGATGACAGATTTTGTTGGCCTAAACTCAATCTTCAAGTAGATTGTCCCTTATCCCTCTGAATTAAAAAATCGAGCAACTTACGATGAAGTGGGGTAGACGTCCTTCTCTTCTTTATATTAAAGGAGCTTTAATTGGCAAAATACCCCTTTCCTTGTGAAAATAGCAGTACAGAGTCAAAATACAGGTCCGATACAAACAAAACACAATATCTACGTCACTCTTTCCTCAGCGGCGGCCATTTTTCTCAATTTCTACAGCTTTAGTCAAAATATGATCCAAACTTTAAACGGTTTGTTCCCTTTAAAAATATACTGCTTCCAACCCTAATTTATTTTATATTTTAATAAATATTCTTTTTCTTTTCAATTATCTGGACGATTATAGAAGACATGAAATGACTGTCAACTGTCATCAGAACTAGTTTTTTAAGCCTGAGTGGACAGTGAATTATTAACAAGCCAGTGCTATGCAGTGGTATTCTGTAGTAAAATCAGTTTAGCTTTCACATCCTTAAAATTTGGCCTCTTTTCTGGATGAAGATCCCAAGCCTGCAAAAAGAAGATGAGATTACAAATTTCTCATTATAGTGTAGAACTTACTATGTCAAGTAGATAACATATTCATAATTTTATTTTTTTGGATAAACAAAATTGCCCCTGTGCTATGTTTGAATATGACAAGACGACCGTTCTGTTTGTTACAGTATAGTGCAGTGAACTTAGCCCATAAGAATTCAATCATACATACTTGGCTCATAATTTGATAAACTTCAGGAGGGCATCCCTCAGGCGCTTCCATTTTATAGCCCTTATCAACATGTTTCACAACATCTGCAAGAGGCTAAAGAAAACACAATACTTAGTCATATGATAACTAAAGAAAGTATGTTTTAAAACTGTTACAAAATAAAACTTACTATTCTGGGATAAGGTACTCTACCAAATGAATACACTTCCCACAACAAAATCCCAAAGCTCCACATGTCTGACTTGTTGGAGAATTTCTGGAAATTTAAACCACAAACAAGAGTTCAGGAAAAAAGACCTTCAATCAGACTGAGAAAGCAATCCAATTTCGAAATGCAATATTTACCCCTAGTTTCAAAGCTTCGGGAGCAGTCCATTTGATTGGAAGTTTACCCCCATCTTGTGTGAAACTTTCTTCACGGGCAAGACCAAAGTCAGAAACTTTGGCAACACCTTCTTCAGATATGAGCACATTTCTGGCTGCAAGATCCCGGTGAACAACTTTTCTTGACTCTAAGTACTCCATGCCTGAACATGTGTCACTAGAGAACAAAATAAGATATAAGATTGAGGAAATAACTATGTATAAAAGAGGTATACATATTGCACACTCCCTTTACTTAATTACGGAAAAAGAAACTTACACAGCAAAGTTGATCTGATCTCTTTTCGTAACATGAAGTCTTCCGCGGGAGCGCAAATAATCTACCAAACTGCCTTTACTCATAAATTCTGTGACCAAGTAAATATGTTGCTTGTTCATAACTAGACCTAGAAGCTGTACAAGGTTTTCATGTCTCAAAGACCTGCAGATGAAAAGAGTTTGTTAAAACCGTACAAAAAAGATGTTGAGTAAAGATATAAAAAACAACTTACGTCATTAATGAGGCTTCTGCCAAAAACTTCTGAGCTGCTTCACTGGTATCTTTTAGAACTTTAACAGCTACTTTTTCACCTCGCAAAATTCCTAACATTACTTCACCAAATTCCCCTTTCCCAATTGATTCCTTTAACTGAAGAAACAAAATATAATAATAATAATAATGTTGATAACATTAGTACATCTAAAAATAGATAGATCAATAGTATTGAAATACCATACCTCCAGCTCATGGTCATGTATTACCCAGCCA